CTCCAAACATCCTGCACTGACACACCTCAACATAATGGCGTCATGAAATGGAAACATCGTCATTTGTTGGAGAAAGCTCGTGCTCTCATGTTTCATGATGGACTCCCGGTTCGTTTCTAGGGTGAGTGTGTTCTCACTACTGCATACCTGATCAATCGTGTGCCTACACCTATGCTCACGAGCAAGCCCCCTTCGAAGTTTTATTGATTCGCATTCCTACCTACTCTCATCTTTGCAGTTTTTGGTGCCTAGCCTATGCCAAGGACACGCATCACGGTCTTGACAAGTTTGTTGATAAGGGGAGATCCGGTGTTTTCCTTGGCTATCCTGGTTCACAGAAAGAATATCACATTTATGATCTCCGTACTCGCCAGATCATTCTCTCGGGATGTGCATTTTTTTGAAAATGCTTTCCCCTTCTCTATGCAACCCACCAGCACGAGCTCGCCCTTACCACATCCTCATGTGGACGTGCATGGCAAGATTCCAATGAATACTTTCGAAGAGCTTAACGCGACTCCTCAATCCCTGGGTGGTATTGTCGGTGATGATGAACCAGAGCAGACCTTGTCGAGATGGATGCTCTGGACACTTTCGAGCTCGCCGCATCTGATTCGGATATATATGAGGTATCATTACCCAACACCAGTTCTCATAATGTTCGTCTCCCCGTCTCAAATTATGTCCAGTATCATCATTTTTCTGACCGTCATACTGCTTTCCTTGTTGTCATGGATCAAATGTTTGAACTCTAGACTTATGATCAAGCCGCCCAGTATGAACAGTGGCGCACGGCCATGAAGCAAGAAATTGCAACGCTCGAGGCGCAGGGTACGTGGACCTTGGAGTTCTTACCTCCTGTGAAACGTGTCATTGATTTCAATTGGGTCTACAAGATTAAGCTTCTACCTGATTGCACAGTCGAGCACTACAAAGCGCGCCTAGTCGTTAAGGGTTTCACTCACTTGAATGCATCGATTTTCACAACACCTTTGCTCATGTTGCCAAACTAGTGAATGTCTGTGTTCTCCTCGGGAATGCTGCTCAGTGGGGTTGGCCTCTTTATCAACTAGATGTTAACAACGTTTACCTTCGCGAGGATCTTGAGGGGGAAGTTTACACGAAGGTACCCCAAGGGTTTGTCTCCTTCGAATTTATGGTCTTAAACAGGCCTCGCGTAATTGGTACTTCAAATTTATTGAGGCCATGCTACAGTTTGGCTTTACTGTGTCCAAAGCCAATCCTTCACTCTTCTTGTATCAAGCCAACGGTCTGTTCCTGGCCCTTCTTATCTACGTTGATGATGTGGTTATCACCAGCAACATTCAACGACCATTGATCGAGTCAAGTCATTTCTTCACCAACGGTTCATCATCAAAGATCTGGGTCCCTTGAAGTACTTTCTTGGTATCGAAGTCGTGCGCTCTCCTGATGGCATTGTCCTCAGCCAGCAGAAGTATACCCTTGATATTCTTGCAGACTCGGGGTTGACTGCATCGCGCCCCAGTGGGTTCCCGGTAGAGCAAAATCACACTCTCACATAGCCGACTGACGATCGGCTCGAGGATGTAAGCTCTCATTGGGAGACATTTGTATCTCACTATCACTTGGACTGACATTGCCTATATTTTCAATCTCCTCATTCAGTTTGTTCACTATCCCAGTCCCGCACACATGGATGCCGCTCAGCGTGTCCTTCGCTATCTCAAAGTTGCTCCTGATCAAGGTTTGTTTTTTTTATCTCTACTAGTGATTTAGAACTTACCGCTTACTGTGACGAAGATTGGGGTGACTGTCAGTTTAACAGGCGCTCCACCGCTGGTTTCTACATTCAACTTGGGGGCGCCCCTGTCTATAGGCACGCCAAGAAACAGTGCGTTGTCGCTCACTTCTCCGCCGAGATGGAATCCCGAACCATGGCAAGTACCGCTAGTGAAGTTCTTTGGCTTCGTTTCCTCCTTCGTGAACTCTGTGTGCCTCGACCCGAGCCAACTCGCTTGTACTGTGACAATCAGGCTGCTCTCCATATTGCGGCTAATCCAGTCTTTCACGAACGTACACGCACGTGGAGATGGACTGCTATTTTGTTCGCGAACGAGTTGTTACTGGAGAGATATCACCGTAGAAGATCAACACCCATCTTCAGCTCACATATATTTTCAACAAAGTCTTGGATACTGATCAGTTCCACGCACTTCTTTCCAAGCTTTGCATTCGCGACCTTCATGCTCCAGCTTGAGGGGGAGTATTGGACGTGCTTGTACATATTCCTTTTAGGGAGTGCTTATTTGTAATTTGCCTTATACCCCAGTTGGTTGTCGAAGGGTATAAGAGTTTCTCCTCCACCGAACTTAAACCCTGGCCTAGAGGGAACTCGGCTTCTTTTCCTTCTTTGAACAAATCACCAGTGAAACTTCTCTTGAGAGCTATCCTCTCCGTGGACTAGTCCCTATCTTCAGGGAAACCACGTAAATCATCGTGTCCTTTATTTTCTGCGATCAATAAACTTTACATAAAGATACTCCTGAAAAGAGAATTTAAGATCAAGAATATGGGAGAACTCAAATATTTCTTATGCCTGGAGATAAGGACTTAAGGAGAAATGAATTTATTGAGTGATACAGGTTACCTAGATGCAAAGAGCTGTAAAACCCTTATTGATTGCAAAGTCAAACTCAATGCAAGAGAAGAAAAACTTCTTTATGATCTTGGATGTTAGAAATGATTAATTGAAAAACTTAACTACCTGACAATGACAATGCCAGATATAGCTTATGTTGTACAATAAATGTGTCAGTACCAAGTTCAACCAAGAGGCACCATTTGTAGGCAGCTTTTAGAATCCTTAAGGTATTTGAAGGGAGCTCAATGATATGAGTTACACTTTGAGTCTAAGACCAACCTCGCATTGAAGGCCTATAGTGATGTTGATTGGGCAACATGCCTTGATACCAGGGGTTCTATTTCTGGGTATTGCACTTTCTTGGGAGGATCTCTAGTTACTTGGAGGGCAAAGAAGCAAACAACCGTCTCTAGGTCGTCATCAGAATCATGGCACTTGTTCATCTGGTATGTGAAATTCAATGGTTGCAAAGTTTGCTTAAAGAATTAGATGTCAAGTTGCGTACTCCAGTTCATGTGTTCTGTGATAATATTTCTGCGATTCAGATAGCAGAAAATCCGGTATAATATGTACGAACTAAACACATTGAAATCGATGTTCATGTTACAAGAGAAATGTTGAAATCTAGACATTAAATTGAACTACATTCAAAGTTAAGGACATGTTGCAAAATTATTTTTAAAGGCTCTAACTCGTTATCGTGTTACATATCTGCTAAGCAAGTTGGGCCTAATTGATATATACGCGTCAACTTGTACGGGCGTGTTGAAGTATGAAGGTGTTCTCAATTGGAATAATCAAGAAGAAGTGCAGAAAGGAAAGATAAGAATGTTGCAGGAGGATCAAGCTCCACCAACTTATGCTCGAAATGTGATTTGAATTTGAAGGCGATTAGACCTGACAAATGAGGACCCAACCCGAACCCGCTCGAAAAATAGAGAATGGGTTGAGGTTTTTATAATTTGAAACCCAAATGATCCGAACCCGATTAACCCGTAGTTTTTGGATCGGGTTGGGTTGGTTTGTGGGTAGACCTGCTAGACCCGTTTTATTGCATATGTCACTCTCAAAATGATAAAATCACTCATACTTTGGTGAGATGTTTAAAAAAATTTATTAGGATTTGAAAGACAAGTTTGGAGTGTTAAGATAATCAAACATCATTTGTTTATTGTAGTAGTATTACTTTCGTCATTGTTTTTTGACAATTTGTGCAATTTGTATTTCTTTTCATTAGCATGGAAGGAGTTGAGCATTTGTTAATTGACATGTGCTAGGTAAACTATTGTCGCACATACATAAAAATTTGTTCTTTAAAAATTTATGAAGCATGTTTGATATTGTTTCTGAGAACGCTCATGACCCGAAACCCGACCCAAAACCCGATGGGTTAGGTCAATATTTGATCCGAAATCAGCAAACCCATCACGACCCGACCCGTGAAGACCCTTAACCCGTGATTCCCAACCCGACCCGATTGCCAGATCTAAAGGCGATTGACTGTATGGGAAACGTTTCATGACTTCCCCCTATTCCTGCCAAGACGTTGTTGTATCTTTAAGTTACCATTAGTAGTGTAGTTAGTATATTTACAAACTAAAGTAAGCTTGCCAGTTGTCATGGTAAACAGTAAAACTGGAAGTGTTGATTGTAGTTGCTTTTGGCAGAAGTATAAACAGCAGAAACCCCAACTATTTGTTTACAACTATGGCTGCATTGTCGATCTTCCTGGCAAGGCTGGATGCATGAGAGATGCTTACGAGTTCATCAAGAGGATGCCGGTGAAGGCGTGGAGCCCGATCTAGTCTTGTCGAGGAGCTTACTGAGTTCATTTAAAATCCATGGAGATGTCGATTTGGGTGAGGAAGTGGGAAATATGCTACTCATCTTACGTCCGGAGATTATGCAGTCGAGTCGAGTGATGATTATGTAGAGCTTTGTCTAATAAATATGCGTCAGCTGAGAAATGGAAAGAGGTGGAAACGGTGAGGAATGTGATCAAGCTTAGTTCAAAGCATAAGCAATCCGATTCCCTTTGGGACAATAGATTATAGTGACCATTAATGATGGGATCTTTGTGTTTCTCATCCTTGAAGCTTGATGTTAGAAGAACAGAAGTTAAAAAAGATGTGGACTGGCTACTATGGCTCCAGTCGATTTCAACTAATTAATTGGCACTAGTTGCGTCCCTAATACTGTTTGCCGCAACGGGCAACTTTTCCGATTAACCTCCTACGGCTGAAATCAAAGTAAGCACAAATCATAATCATATGACATCAAAACTTGCGGTTTTGAAAATTGACACCCATTCTTTTGGGCTGTTCTATACAGGAGAGGAAGAGAGAGAGAGAGAGTTCAGTTGGTAGCCAAAAATTAGAGACTTAAATACACTTTATAAATGGCAGGAAGCTCAACTGAGTTCTTCGCAACCGCGGATCCTTTTCTGCAAATGCTCCAAGCTAGCAATCCGACGCAGAGAAGCTGTTCGGCCAATCTTGTTGCCTGTTATTGCTCCTTTTGCTCGAGCTCCATCATCTAGGTGTCCATTTTCAACTGAAGAAACATCTGACATGCCATTGGCGGCAGGTTTCTTTTCATGGCGAGAAACATTCGGATGCTTTTGATGATCATCTTGAACAGGAACGGCTGCATCTGCTGAAGTGTCAGAAGCAGTTGATGGCATACTCGCGGTAGACATCTCCCGCAGCGCCTGGAACATCGGGTTTAAACCTGTAATCCTTTTGACCGCCTCCTCAGCCATCTTCACCTGGATATACAAAACTCCAATGATGAGAAGAAAGAAACCAAGTCTGCAGAAGAACCACTCAGGCGATATTGTGAAATGAGTTTACCTTTGTTCTCAATGTCTCAACATCTGCTTTTAGGACTCTGTTGTCTACAGCTGCTTCATTGTACTTCTGGCTTATGTCGTTGAGACGTTTTAACAGAGAGGAATTTTCAACTCTTAGTTGCGAAACCTGCGTGTACAACAATGTTGAATAACAGAACCAATTAACGTTGTAAAGTTTGTTCATGAAAAGAACCCTATTCCCTGTCCATACCTGCGTCTCAAGTTCAGTCAAATGAGCCTGCTTTCTTCTTCTGGATCGTCTGGCAGACTCTCTATTAGACAGCATCCTGTAAAATGACAACAGATGTGAGCCATACAAGAAAAAACAGAAAATCAGTTGGCTTAAGTCACTTGCATATGATCATCGAAACACACAGGATAATTGTTCATACCTCCTAACACGTTTCACATCGCTAGGATTCGCATTGTCAACATTTGCAGTTTCTCCTTCGTTTTCATCGTCATCCGATTGATCCCTCGACGACCCACTGGTTGTCGACTTCAGAACAAATGCAGGCTTCTTCTGTGTGAAAGGTACTAAGGATGGGATTTCAACTGGTTCATCCCTGTCCTTATCAAACGGGCCTAACAAATCCTGTCCACCTGCAGTATTTGTTTTGCTGCTCAAATTAGCATAAGCTCGAACCCCCTGCCACACACCACACGAAATGACTTATTACTACATGTCAATGATGCAAACCTTTGGAAAGAGCATGTGATCCCAGTTGTGAAGTGTTTGAAGCTTGTGATCCACTATCAGCTCTAACGGAGGAGTTTTGAGGTTTCAGATAAGATGCCTGCTTACACAATAACATGGAGCAATTACTTCGATTGATTACTGTAATAAAGAAAACATAAAACACACACATCAAAGATAGGGAGATGATGAGTCGACTGTTCGACTCATATCTTATATAAGTTGGTTCTTTCCATCACCTTTAGATTTTACTGCTACTTTTTTTTCCCCAACCATTTTACAGTCAGTTTCACATACTCATACAGTCCCGTTGGCATCATAGCCTACCTTCACTATACTATAAAACACAAGATGAAATTTGCTACCCGCGATTAGAGTGTTGGTGTATACCATCATCACTATAATAAGTCAAATTGGATAAACTGGACCCTTTTCCCATTGGCCCACTAATAATTGAGTCTCGGATGAGATTTGGAAAACAATTCATAATGGACTTGCTACTTCTCTGCCTCTTCCCTTATGTGAAGCTTCAACTAGACTTCAATACCTAACTTGCTCAAAGCATTATCTGTTATGCTCCCCATCTTTATTGGACTAATCATCAAGTGCTCTCTAAAAGAGGTACCTTTTTGTTCCCTTTTCAATTCTAGACTAGATAGTGGATTCTTTTCTTCCTTCAGCATCAAGGACTTACACTTTAGCTCTTCTTCAGCTCACAGGGACAACAGCCCTTTTGCCACAAATTCCCCCATGACCAAGAAATAGAACCTCTGTCTCAGCCACTTGAATCATATGAAACAGGACAAGAAAAGTTTCGAATCCAGAAGCCGACAAATCAAGAAGAAATCTACACCATGAGTTTTTTTCCCCCCTTGTTCGGTGTCCAAGAAAATTGGATAGAAAGCTCAAAATATACAAAATCCAACAGAAAATCCCAACACCCTGCCGCAAAGTTACCTCCTTTTGACCCTTTTCTCCCAACACGGCGATGAAGTCCTCAACTTTTAGTGTAATCTTAGGAACTAACTAATCAAGTAAACTACCACAGTTGATTGGGTCAAGACTATTTTCCTAGATTCCAATCCAATTTGACAATTGGATGGAGGTAAACTCGCAGGTATATATTTATGATTATGATTGCTGGTTCAAGATAGTCAAATTCTTGAGTTCCTCAGCAAAGACCCCGACCAAGGTTAAAGTGATTGGAGCTGAAATTATTAAAGGGGGAAACCAAAAGAAGAATAATAATAATAATCCACTCGGATTAAAAGATTATAACGTTCCAAATCAACCTTATCCGACTTTGGAAACGTCAGAACGTGACCGAAATAACAAGTGATTTGAAAGAAGAAAAAATCAATCTAAAAAAATTAGTACGAAATAAAACAGAGAAAAGAGGAATTTACCCTGGACAAGGCGACGGCGGCACAAGCCAAGTTGAGTTTGCTCTTGAGAAAAGCGTGGTACTCCACGGAATCCGCCGGAGCGCTCCCGTCCGCATTGGCGCTGGAGGAAGAGTGCTCAATCCGATCGTTGATCTCAACGACGTCGCTTCGTTGAGCTGAGGAAGACTGAAGCGAGGAGTCGGACGCGACGGGGGCGGAATTAGCTTCCTGGAGGAAGCAGTGGAATGCCCATTCGGAAGCGCTGCGGTTCATCTTGGAAGATCCGCCGATCGGAGGCGGCTGCGGAGCACGGTGGTGGTGAGAATGATCTGGCGGCGGCGGGGGAGGAGGAGGAGACGGCGGAGACCAGAATTGGTCGGAGATCCCGTCCACTGAGAATACCCTATCCATTTTTGTGAGCGTTGGTTGGGGAGAAAGCCAAAGAAATAGGAGAAGGGGAAAATGAGGCGGGCCGAGGAGGATTGGGTCCTTTTTTTGCGGGGAATGTGCTTCTTAAATTACATGGATTAGTGATTTTTCTAATACCCGCACTATGTTTTTTGTTTTGCCATAGTAGTACCCGTACTATGTTATTTTAACAAATAAGTAAGTGTATAATGTCCTGAATCCGTTTGTAATCATTACACAAAAAATTCAGCCAAATCCATTACTAAAAGGGTTGGACCATGCATGAGAATCGTCTTCCATGATTGGCATGATATACATGATGGCAGGGGCGGATCTGGGCCCCGAGAATTTTGAAAATCGCATATGAGTATAACGAGAATTTTTAAAATTACGTATTAATTAAGTAATTTGTATAAATGACGACATTGTGCAATTTGATTTAACTACAGTGCACATGTAGTCTAGCGGGTAAGTGAATGTCTCTCATGCAGTGTCCATGAAACCGTAGCGTACCGGCGGTTGAACCACGAAATATCAGTATCGGAGGCTAAACCGGTAGGCAATATTTACCGGTATAACGGTTGAATTACGGTTGAACCACGATTTTACCATAAAATACCCTATCACTAACTTTACCGGTACGATCTCCGGTACGGTTTCATTGACCATGCTCTTATATTAGGGAACATGGGTTCAATACCCATCAGCCATGGAACTGTAAGTTTTTTGGTCCATTTTTTAGTTTTTTTGGTCCATTTTTGCTATAAAATTCAGAAGAACATGGTACAAATACAAAAATGATTATTTTTTGTTGACAATTTATTTAATAATGTTGAACATATCATTGCTAATTTTTTAATTTAAATCATAATTTTAGTGCTAACAATTATCTTAGATAATAAATTGTAATGTGGGATTTATATTATTATTATTATTTTTTTACGATAATACGTATTAAAAAAAAATTTGGCCTCCCAAACTTCAAATCCTGGCTCCGCCCCTGCATGATGGAAATTCATTTTCATCACAAACCCATCATTCATTGGTCACGTTAAGTTCATATGATGCGCGCATCGCAAAGAAGAGAGATGTAATGAAGAATCGAATTGAGAGCGGAACATGATTTTCTTACATACCTAACATACGATTCATTCAAAACTTAATAGGTACTAGTATCATTATCTCGTTATAGGGTGGATGATATTCTTTACTATAGCATTCAACTATACATGCATAAACAACTAAGATTCTATATAAAAAAGAAGTCTATATCTTCTGTTGTTAAACTTTTAATGTAGTCATCCTCTTAGAAATTGCATCAAAATATGTTTTTAGAGGAGTCTATCAATGCCTAGTAAGAGTCTTGAACGAGTCACATATTGCGCTTATGTTGAAACTTCTTGTTTTTCTCTCTACTCTAATGATCATGTGCCCTAAATCCAAATTATCATCTCATTTTGTTATGACGCATTAGTCGCACAACAGAATCTTAAAATGAGAAAATGACACATCGTATATATATATGTCAATTGTCATGCAAGTGAAAAAAATTAATTTAACAAGAAATCTTGTAAGAGGAGCTTTAAATTGAAAAATTACAGTCTAGACTCTAGACAAGTATTTTTTTGAAATTCACTACTATGGGGATGAGATTATACAAATAGTATAGTATAAGGACTAAAAGTAGCAGTTGGCTTTATTGTTTTGTTGGAGGGAGGATCCGACGTGGAGGTGAGGTGGAAATGGATAAAATAAGGATTAACTAGGATTTTGGGCTGGTAGCTGGTGGGTCCAGTGGGTCAGTATCAGCTACTTGCGTGCGTACGATTTCATCGTGGCCCCTACTACGGTCTCTTGGTGATGATAGTTGAGAAGAACAAGAGAGAGAGAGAGAGAAATTCATCATCGAATCAATGCAAATGCAAGACCTCGTCGAATCATCCGACCACTTGACGTTCTAGGAACAAAAAGACCACTTGCCAAGTAGCAAAAACAAATTTTTAAATATCTATTTTATTTTATGTAGGGTGACAAATGGAGAAGTATATCCATAGATAAAATGAATAGGTGAATTTTATAAATTTTAGTGATATAAAAAATGTTAACTAGTTATATAATAAATTATTGTTGATGTGACTTGAATTGGAGTATTTGACTGATGACTAGATGTCAATGTTGTTTGGATTCGTGTTCTGGGTTTGGTTGTAACCGTTTTTTCTTTATTATATTGTTCTAGGGTTAGACCATGGAGACGATAAATACTTCGCATACTCCTCTGTAATCTGTATCTCCTTGAAGTATATTGAAATTTGCTCTCTCCTGCCCGTGGACTAACTAACTAACTCACATCGTGTTAATGATCCACGTATATAAATCTGTGTGTTGTTTTCTTTCTTGCTTTCGTATTCTTGCTTTGTCGAATCCTTCTATTTCCTGATCCGTAGAGAAACAGTCGTGACAAATGTCATAAAAAATTATGTAACAAATTTTAATTTAAAAAAAATTACATTCAAAAATTAATTTTTTATATTAAAAATGCAAGATTAAAAAATTATAGGTATTAAACTATAATTCTCCAAACATCCATGAATCTACCAATCCAATTGGATTTGGAATACATTGATTTTAGAGAATGGATTAAATTAATTCAATATTTTAGTAAATGGATTGGATTGGTGATTACATACAAAATTTTCATCTCTAATTTTGTACATATCTATATATTCTAAAATAATGACACTCCTAACTTTGCCACTAACACAGTCAGAAAATCACTTTGCATATAATTTCCGTGTAACTAGGGATGACAATAGATAAGGTTGGGAGTGGATAATACATGTGTTTCCCTACCAAAAAATAGTTGTGGTTTTGCACATACCTAAGAATCGGGTAAATAATTAAAATCATATCCACACTCGTTCGCGTTTCGGGTATCCACAGTTATCAATGAGTAATAAATTCTTCTTATTACTCCAACCAACATGTTAACATTCACACATATACTCACATGTCACATTACACGAGTGGAAAAGTACGACAATAAATCACCGGAATAAAGAAAATTAATTAAAAACAAGTAAAAACACAATTTCATGAAAATATAATATTTGTATGCTAAATATAAAATATGTCGAGAAAAATTATGATCATTTCTAAAAAATGGGTTAATGCCACGATTGGTCATTGAGTTTACTAAAATGTGTCATGTTTAGTCACTAGAAAAAATTAATATCAATTGTGGTCACTAAGTTTTAGTAAAACATTTCATGTTTGGTCACTGTCCGTTAGTCTCCGTTCAACTCCGTTAATAGAATCCGTTAAGTGCCGACATGGCAAACAAAATCGCTTAGTCAGCCAAATTTAACCCAACAAAAGTAAAAATCGACCAGCCACGTCATTAAAATTACCCCAACCAATTACTCAACCTCTTATGTTCTTCTATTTTACCCGACCGACCCGAACCTTCTTCCTCCTTCCTCTCTCCGAAAATTTTCATCTTCCCCATCTTTCTTCTCTCCTTATTCAGCCGCCTCCTGCTCCACCTCCATCTAGGGGTGTAAGTTTGACCCTTAAAACCCACTGACCCGCCCTGACCCTCAGGGTAGGGCTAAGTCAGTTTGTCTATAGGGTCAATTTAGGGTCGAGTCGGCTTAGGGTCGGGTCAGGGTCAGATAGGGTCGGGTCAATTTAGGGTCGGGTCACTTTTTGACCCTTAGCATCATACAAACATGTTGGACCTATTTGTAAAATTTTATAAGTTTAGGTACTAAATTGTAAAAATTAAAAAATTTGGGTACCAAAACGTAATTTTACCATAAAATTTTAGGGACTTATTTGTAAAAAAAATAAAATTTAGGTACTAAAATGTAAGAAAAAATAAATTCGGGTACCAAATTGTAATTTTTAGAAAAGTAGTCTATTTATTAGGGTCGACCCACTGACCCGCCCGACCCTAAATGGTCAGACAGGATCATGAAAGAAATAGAGTCGGGGCGGGTCAGTTATACATCTTGACCCTTCAGAGGCGGGTCAGACAAGGTCATGATAGGGTCAGGAGCGGGTCGGACCAATTTTCAGCCCTACCTCCATCGAAGGCGCCCCATTTATCAACCCGACAGTCAGAGCAAACAAAATTGCACACTCCTTGAAAGAATATAATTTCCCCTCCCTCCCCGAAAACCAAAGCCCCATACGAAAATAAAAATCAAATCACCGATTAAACCCTTTGCCGCAAAGTAAATTCCAAATTGGGAGTACTACTCACTGTTGAATCAGAGCCCTTGAGCGAACAAATGGCCGGAGCTAGGCGCTTGCTGTAGAAGGAGAACGAAGTGGTGGCGGGATTGGGAAGCAAAGGATTGTGGTGGGGAAAGATGAGGAATAGTGCCAGCGGATTGACGCTCCTGCTGCTGCAGCCGCCATGGGAAGTGAAGTGGAGTACAAACAGATTGAAGGGGGAAACAGGAAGAGTCCAAAAGGGAAGTGGAGAAAAGTATGTTCACTCATTACCCGGAATATTCGAATTCAAATTTTAATCATACCCATTTAAAATCCTTCAGATTTGAGTTCTATCCCATTCGATTATGATGGATTCAAATGGGTATCTACTATTACGAATATTTTTGTCATTCCACATGTAACTCTTGTTCATGCCAATTGCCAAGCAATGGGAAGTCCTTCTATGGCTACTTGAATCTCATCTCCAACATTAAATTTAACTTTTAAGTTGTTTCAGGGTTGTTTGATCTTGTCAAGTGGGATAACAGATAGTCAACTTGGGCAGTCCTATATTTGGTGTTCGTATGTAGAATATCATCATGACCAATGAGATCGCAAAAGATCAAGGATATTTCTTTCTGCAATAGGGAGGAGAAATATCTTCTTTTTTTTTTTTACAACCAGGAGAAATATCTTCATATGATTGATTCCTCAAAAAAAAAATCTCCTTATATAATGAATTAAATGAAGCCAAGGAAACCTGATTGAAGCCTGCAATATGGAGGATATTTCTTTCTGCATAATACTGTAAACGTACAAAGAATCTTTGTAGTTCCTTTGAAATATCAACGGATATTTTTTTTCATTGAAGAATTATTTTTTTAACGTTCATGGGGTTTCAACTTGCAACCAACGATGCACAACAACACGAAATAGTTGCATTTTTCTTCCAATCATCACACATTATTTTGTCTAATGTCAAGATTCAGATCTATTAAAATGGTATACAGAAAACAACAAACTAATTATGGTAAATGAATGCTTTACGTTTCTTAAATGATTCTCATGTATCTATCTATTAATAAGAAATGGATATGAGTTGGATTGCATAAATTCAGGGCCAATCAATGGATTGTCAAGACTCAGTTATAAAATTGAATTGGATCTAGATTGACTTATAAGTATAATAAAATTAAAATAATTATATATCATTATAATATGTAATATCTTTTTAATATTGTTCAGAATACAATGTTATATTTTCTCTCTAGTTTTTATATTCACCAAGAGATCATTTTCCATTGTTATTCTATTTATTTAATTAAGATTTCCTTGTATTATTTTTTTAAACTAATAGAATTTACAAAATACAAAAAATACTTTAACAATCAATATATGTGTTTGGCATATATATACATGAAAATATTAATCAATAACTAATACTAATATTAAGTAATATAATTAAACTCGTCATTATATTTATAATTAATAAATCATACACTACAACTACAACATACAATATACGATCGGTGGCTCGACTCTAACTACACATTCCAAACGACAGCCAAGCATAACCGACTATCGGGTGTAGCAGGTTAGCAAACAATAAAAATTATCAAATCACGGGTCTCTAGGTGTGCCTTGCTTTGAGTTAAGGCTTCGTTATCTAGCCAACCTATAATAGTGATTAAGAAACTAAACTAACTGACCTAACTAATTACAAGTTATGGAGCTCTCTCAGCTTGAATCCCCCTAGTTCTATCACCAGGATCTATGTTCAGTACCATTCTAGCTCGATCAACTCGCTGCCCTACTGTTATGCGATCGACTCACTCGGGATTGACCTAGAACAACAAAGTAATGGATGGATAATGCTCTATTCAACCTAGGGATTCATATATCGTTAGGAGGTCGATAGAATCAACGTAACTCTCGGGGGTTACCTTGACAACATATAATAAGAGTGACCCGAAGACGCCAATAATGGCTCTAAGGGATTATCTCCCTCCTAGGTCAAAAGCTCAATTGACATGAAGTGGAATCCAAAATCATGCAATTCATGAAAATCATCCATCAAATAGATAAAACCATCAATCAAACATAGAATATGTCACATACATAAACTTCAACCAAAATCTAGATCTAGGGTTCATCAACCTAAGAGGAAGAGGTCTAGTTTATAGAGAGAGAAGAGATATTACAAAAATAGCTCTAATTTTTCATTTCTAGGCTTGATTCCTTGACTCCAAGATCAACCCAAGCCTCCAATTAAGCTCCAAGTTCACTCAATGTCTCTCTCTCTCTCTCTCTCTCTCTCTCTCTCTCTCTAAAAACTCCTCTTTGGTGTTTTGGGTCAAAACCCTAGAGAGAACCAAGTTCTTCTCCAAAAACCAACTCTTCTTTCTCTCTCCCAGCTGCTAGTGGGTGCTCATGGTATCACGGGGATAATATGTTTTTTCTGAGGAAGTGGGTTCTTGACATCCAACTGCTTGCGATTGATAATACAATCATTCCGGTCTGTGTTCATATCTCAATTTTCTTGCTGAGTTTGTGAACAAAGAAGGATTGGGGTGAATTGCTAGCTCAATTGGCAAGCCATTGTGTATGGATCTTCCGACTAGACTATGAATAAAGGGTTATGATAAGGTTAGTGTTAGAATATGACTTGAATTTGAATTGGTTTTGTTTTGTGTTTTGGGCCTATTTTGTTTGGGTTTGTGTTTGGACTTTGTTTTGGCCTTTTCCTTGTATGTTTGGGAAAAGGTGTTTGGTTTTCTGTTTGAGATTATGAGACGATTTATATAAATACTCTTCATCACCCTAGTCTGTAGTAAGGTCAGTCACGTTAGTTTGTTTGGTTTGTCCGTTTGGAATTTGGTTTGTAACCTGTACTCTCCTCAAATTAGTGAAATTTGTCCCCCCTGCCCATGGATTAGCTAGCACACATTGTGTTAGTGAACCACGTTAAATTTGTGTTCGTTCGTGTTGGTTTGGATTATCGATTGCCACGCTTCTGTTTTGACAAGTGGTATCAGAGCCTTTGGTTGCGGTTTTGGAAATTTGGCGCTGGACTGAAGTTTTGCTTTGTGGAGTTTGTTTGATAGTAAGAATGGCTGCTATCAGTATGAAGATTGAGAAGTTTACAGGAAGAAACAGTTTCAGTTTATGGCAGATCAAGATGCAAGCACTGTTGAAACAATAGGGTTTGTGGGCTCCGTTGTCTGAAAAATCGAAGAAGGAAAGTATAGATGAAGAAGAGTGGATTACTTCGGAGGAGAAAGCTCACTCTACAATCTTGCTTTGTTTAGCTGATGACATCATCACTGAGGTTGCTGCTGAGAAGACTGCTGCGGGTTTGTGGTTGAAGCTTGAAAGTCTATACATGACAAAGTCTTTAACCAACAAGGTGCATATGAAGCAACGTTTGTTCAATTTGCGTATGGAGGAAGGTATGTCTCTCAGGAATCATCTAGATCAACTCAATACTATCTTGCTAGATCTGCGGAATATTGATGTTAAAATAGATGATGAGGATACTGCCTTAATTGTGTTAGTATCTTTGCCACAGTCATATGAGAATTTCGTGGATTCTTTTATTGCTGGGAAAGGTAGTTTGTCTTTGGAAGATGTCAGATCTGCTCTACATACTAGAGAGGTTCGACATAAGACATCTGGTTCAGGTTCAGAAAATCAGGCATATATGTTGGCTGCTACGAGTAGTAGGAGACAACAATCTGGTAATAGGAAGGCGAATACAAATTCGAATTCTGCTGGTTTGAAGGATGATATCTGTCATTACTGCAAGGAGAAAGTACATTGGAAATTTGATTGTCCTAAACTGAAGAAATATCAGGAGAAGAAGGAATCATCTGCTGTTGTGGCGGAAGAAACTAAATCTGATTCTAAAGATGATTTAGCCTTAGCAGTGAATGAACAGGTACATCATCAGGATGTGTGGTATTTGGATACTGCGGCTGATTATCATATGTGTCCAAGCAGGGAGTGGTTTTCAACTTATGAGCAGATAGATGGAGGACATGTTTCTATGGCCAATGGTGCTATCTGTAAGATTGTTGGAAGAGGCTCCGTCAGGATGAGGACACATGATGGTTCTGTTTGCACCTTGAACAATGTTAGGCATATTCCAGAAATGACTAAGAACCTGATATCTTTGAGTCTACTCGACAGCAAGGGTTTCAGCTTCAAAGGTGAAGGTGGAGTGTTGTCTGTCTACAATGGTTCTAAGGTGATTTTGAAAGGTATCAAGCGGGGTGCCTTGTATAGTCTACAAGGTTTTGTTTTGACATGTTCTGTTGGTGATAAGTGCAGCAAGTTGGTTCTGAATGGCAAGTCTCAATATGGATTGGAATTGCCGAATGGTTTGAGTTGTTGACCGCCCTTAGGGGCATTTGGAGGCAGGGGAGATTCTGGTACAGCTGATTTGGAGGAGTTGGGTACATCTGGCAACTTTGGTTGCATCTGGTACATTTGGTATTTGAGAGAGAATTCAAGTCAAGGTGGAGATTGTTAGAATATGACTTGAATTTGAATTGGTTTTGTTTTGTGTTTTGGGCCTATTTTGTTTGGGTTTGTGTTTGGACTTTGTTTTGGCATTTTCCTTGTATGTTTGGGAAAAGGTGTTTGGTTTTCTGTTTGGGATTAGGAGAAGAGTTCTATAAATACTCTTCATCACCCTAGTATGTAGTAAGGTCACTCAGGTTAGTTTGTTTGGTTTGTCCGTTTGGAATTTGGTTTGTAACCTGTACTCTCCTCAAATTAGTGAAATTTTACCCCACTGCCCGTGAATTAGCTAGCACACATTGTGTTAGTGAACCACGTTAAATTTGTGTTCATTCGTGTTAGTTTGGATTATCGATTGCAAGCTTCTGTTCTGACAGTTAGTATTGAGATGTCAATCACTACTAAGCTTATAAATAAGCTCAATATGAAGCCAATGGAATGGCCAATTTGTGGGTTAATTTGGACTATTGTCGCTAACTTTTGAAGTGCTCGAGGTGTAATTGTGTTGGGCACGATTGCATGCTGGCTAATGGAGATCGTGGAGTATGGAAGGTGAAGGAACAGATAGTTTGTGAACTTAAGAACTCTGAGAATCAAGAAGTTGATAAAGGGAAGGCAGTACTGTAGTAATCTCATCTATGCTTGCTCAGATTGTTCAAGAAACTACTCCAGTGAGTATGATAGCTAACAAAGTGGTTCATGATGAAGAGTACTTTGGTAGAGAATTGGAAGAACAAGCTCAAATATGCATCAAGTATAGGAAGAGGGTCTGGGACATAAGCTGGATGAGGGTGAGCATTTTCTCAAAATTCAAGTAGAAGGTCAGCAACAGTTTGTTTTTATGTTTGTGTACAACCTAACAAGAGTCAGCAGAGAAACAATATGTATAGAGAGCTACTGGTGCATCAAGAGTTGTCTCATCCAATGGCAGTTTTGGGAGATTTCAATGTTGTAGTAGATGTTTCAGAATCATTCGAATGATACTCAACTCTCGGAGAGTATGATGGATTTCAGGGGTTGGATCGATGGGATGCAGTTACAAAATCATAAAATTCTAGGGTCCGGTTCACATGGTGGAATAAGTAGAAGGGGAATCCAATTGTTAAGCGTTTGGATCGTATTCTAGCGAATGAAGCCTGGTTATACCTCTAACTTGTTAGTAAAGCTCAAACCGCAACTTCTATAGTCTCGTATCTTTGCGGGTTGTTCTGTAGGTTGCTCCACTTATGGCAACCTTGCCTAAACCATTCAAATACTTCCTTTGTTACCTAAGTATGTTGTCACTAAAGTGGAGAAGTTCTGCAATATCTTCCTTTGGTATGTGAATAAATCAGGTGAGAGAACCAAGGCTATGATGGCATGGAGCTTGATTGCTCGACCAAAGAAAAAAGGAGGGTTAGGCATTCAAAATATAAGTATGTTTTAAACTGCTATTTGAAGAACTTGACACCTAATCAGTCTATTGATGAATGGGAAGATGCCCTAAGACGGGGAGTGCAAAATTGAAAGATCAATCAGCTACTGCAGTTATTGGTTAGTCTATATGGAGTTTGGCAATTAGCCTTGTTTGGCGGGAGAGGTGCTCTAGGATGTATGGATCAAGTGCTACAAAATCCCATGTCACTATCTATTCTGAAATTAGAAATATTTTGTACTTTCATGCTGAGGGTGACTTGTTGTTGAATAGTCTTGATAAGACCAGATATGGATGTTAGTTAGATAACCTGGTTTGTAGTTTGTTCTAATGTATGTAGTTCCCCACTCTTTGATGGTTGTAATTATTGAGAGGCACTTAAGGTTTTCTTATGATGCCCGAGTTTAATGAAATTTTTTTATTTAACCATAAAAAATTATTGTTTGATTAGATCAATGGTGCAAATTACCTGGAATATGCTATACGTCTGGAGTATATCAGTCTGACCCATAATGTCGTTTCTTGATTACTATTTATCTTTGTTAGAGAAATACAGTATGGATAAGTAACGCATAAAATACATAAGATTATTTTCCTTCAAATCTAAATTAATGGTACGTTTAATAGTACGTCAATAGTTATAATATATATAAAATAAATTATTTTTAAAATAAATTAATATATAATAATAGCTAAGTTAGCAATTTAATTCATTAAATATGGATATTAAATATGATATACGCATTTTATACGTGTTTAGTACATGAGGCATAAAATGAACGGAGAAAAATGAAATGAACTGAAAATAATATGGATAGCAAAATTTCGAAAGGATAAAATACATACGGCCATACTTATCTTAAACGAACTATTTACTATGCTATTGTTTACCGGTTCCCTCATCCCTCAAGTTGATCGGTCTCAAGATGCCAGAATGCATGCCTCAATGAGCGGTCGTCCTAGATGATGTAGCCTAGAGGGCGAAGAGGGAATATATTAGCGCGGTGGCTATCAAAATCTACACCCTTCATTATCTCTATTTCACCCTATTTTCAAATTCATGATTAAGATTATATTAAAGGTAATTTTGAATATGAAAAAAACATCACATCTTATTACTCTATATATTATACCCAAACATTACAGCAACTCATCTCTCCTCCCCAGCTCTCTCCCTCCGCCCCTTCCCACCCGCCTCTCTCCCCGCCTACCACAGGTCCACAACCCTCCGCTGGCTCCGTCCCTCCAACCATCCCCATCTCTCTCTCTCTCTCTCTCTCTCTCTCTCTCTCTCTCTCTCTCTCTCTCTCTCTCTCTCTCTCTCTCTCTCTCTCTCAAAAGGGTGAGATGGTGCATCATAGACACAGAGAACATAAAAATCCTAGATTTGTTTTTTTTTTTTTTACTTTGGTATTGCTTCATTGTTTTGTTTTATGAAATAGTATAGATTTGTTTTTCATAATGGTATTGATTTTTTTTTTCCTGCAATGATATTGTTATAATCTCAGACTAGTAGTGCTGTTGGTTGATTTTGGTATTGGTTTGACTCTTGTAATGATATAGATTGTTTATATTGGTAGTTTTAGTGTAATTATATTGATTTTTTTTTTGTAATGGTATTGATGTTTTTCAAATTGGTAGTGATTGTCTAATGAATTGATATTGATCTATTGTTTTTTATAGTGGTATTATTTCGACTGAACGGAAACACGAAAATGATTGACAAAAAGAAGAAAGGAAAATATGACGGTACATTGCGGAAGTGAGGAAAAGAGAGAGAATTATAATTATTATTTTTATAACTTCATAAAATGTAATTTATTACAAAAATAATTAAATTTATTTTTCTCATATCTGATTTACCTTTAATAATTAATATTCCATAATAATCACCATAACAGCTAGCGACGGAGAGGTCCTCAGTAGTCTCTCCCAGATAATAACATTCCCCCTCCCCTTTGTGCTCGTTAGTAGTTAATTAGTTAGAAACTTAGAATATTGAGTCGTTGCTTGCTCACTTTCCCGTGTCGGATAGGAACGCGAATTTCCATATGCAATTTTTTATAGCTATTTTATCAGGCTCAAAATAGGCTCAAGATAGAGTGAATAATTTTAGAGTGAGTAACAATGAGTAACCAAATTTGGACCTTCTTTTAAGTGGCTGCAGATTTAAGGGTGGAGAATTAAAAAAAATTATTTTTTCTAATTTTCTTAATTGGATCATATCTTCTTCATTCTAACTCGGATTTCAATTTTTTTTTTTCACAGATGGAATGAGTTCGTTGTGCTCTACAAAATGATATCCATTTTCAATATTTTTTGAGAAATTTTTTTCCATCCCTCTCGTTACCAACTCCATACCATATGGTATCTCCTTCGTTGTTTAGTCATTTTTTTTTGCACAAAATGAACGATTTAATCATGATCTATTGGATTTCAAAATTTTCTGGGGGAAAAATTCCATACCTCTCGTTACCAACTCCATACCATACTATACCACCCTGGTATGTGGTGGTATTTTTCATACCATATGGTATGCTGTTATTTAATAACAGTCAATACTAATAACTGGCAAATTTTTTTGTTCCTAAAAATATCAAAGTGGATATCATTTTGAATCGTTACCAACTCCATGCCATACTCATGGACCAGGAAACCGGATCGTACCGGCCGGTTCGACCGGTAAAACCGAAAACCGAACCAGAAACGAAACGGTAGCCAGTTAGTGGCTGAATTATTGTACCGCCCGGTTTTTTTGGTTTAACCGGTCCGAAAAGAAATATCGGCCGGTTTTGTTTCCACCGGCGGTAGGCTATTTGAAACTGAACGCCGCCGTATTGTGCAACAAAATTATTTATAAAAAAAAAAAAACATAGCTCTGAACTCTGAAAGCCAAACCCCAATCCCTAATAGAACGCTCCACTTCTCTTCTCCAGATTCACCCCGCCGCTCCTCTTCTCTAGCTCACCGTTGCCGCTAGCGAACGACGAGAAGGATGAGCTCGACGCGAGGGCATACTTTCTAGGTCGACGTATTTTCTCTTCTCTAGCTCACCGTTGCCGCTAGCGAACGACGAGAAGGATGAGCTTCCGCGAATCACCGGGGTTGGCCGCCGTATTTTCTCTTCCTCGATGCGACGGCATGGCAAGCAAAATCTGGAGGGATTCATCATCGATTGCGGGGATTGGACGGCGAAGGCTTGGAGACGGTAGATTCGGGTGGAAAATTGCCATCTCCTCCCATCTTCGATTCGCCACTATCAATCTCTAGTCGACGATGTTGTTGAACAGAGACGGAGAGGAAGAGGAAGAGGATAAGTCAGAGAAGGAAAATAAAAATGAGGAAGGAGAGGTCGGATAAGTGAAAAGAGGAAGGTTTATTAATTTTTCAATATTTTTAATTTCTTATTAGTTTTTTAGTATAGGATAAGTGCTAACTACTTGTATTTATTCATTTATTATTCGGTATATTCCGATACATCCGGTATTATTCCGAGACGATACCCTAATTTTGGCGGCACGGTTTTTTGACAAAAAATATATTTTATTATTACAAAAACGGTATTTACCGGTACAAAACGGTTGAATCACGGTCGTACCACAAAATACCATACCAGAAAGAAATCCGGTATGATGTCTGATAACTATGTAATTGCACATATTTGCGCCCCTAGTTCTTATCCGTTTGAGGGGCATAGTCGTGTATTTTTGGCCTATTTTACACCGGGTTGTGCTATTTTGTCATATTTCAGGTCCCAGG